AAATGAAAACCTATGTCCATACAAACACTTGAATATGAGCCAGCAGTGGTGGCACATACCTGTAATCCCAACTATTTGGGAAGCTGGGGTAGGAGGATCACAGATTCAAGGCCTGGCCTGAGTCACTTAGCAAGACCTTGTCTCAAAATTTTTTTTAAAAAAGATTTTTTTTTTCAGAGCTGGGGATGTAGCTCAGTGGTAGAGCACTTGCCTAGCATATACAAAGCCCTGAGTTCAACACTCAGAACTTTAAAAAAAATCAGTTCAATGGTGGTGGTGGAGGTGATGTAGGGAGCAGACCTGTAGTGACTCTTACTGTTGCCATGGTGAAGCCCAACCGTGCATGGGGTGGGGCTTTGGGGGGCTTCATACAAAGCTCTGTATAACATATCCTGCGCAAAGGATGAACACAGGCTTGAGCACAGGTCATGCAAACAGAAACCCAGAACATTAGAAGCCTTTGTTGTAACCTCTGACTCTGCTGCCTTCTATTCCCTGGAGAAAGGCCCTGCAGCCCAGCGAAAAGGCTCAGCCTGGGCCAGGGGAAGGCCGCTTCTCTAGATCTGCATGGCTTCCGGTGTCCCATCAGCCCCGGAAGCCCCTGTCGCTTTATCAGCCCGTCCTGCTGCCCTCACAAGCCCAGTTCTGGGCTCTTGCCTAAGCCTGACCTTCATTTGTTTCCACGGCCTCTGCTTCCCCCGGCCTAGTGCTCTCAGGGGTTCTGGGTAGGACGCCCCCTGCCACTCTCAGCCCCGGGAGACCCCGTCCCAGGCTGAGAGCTGACCCTTTCCGCTCCTCTGTGGGCGGGGCAGACCTTACCCACTTCTCAGCAGGATGGGGGCGGAGGACAGCGGGTACCCGCAGCCTGCTGCCCGAAGGCAGCACTGAGATCTGGTTTGTTGTTTTCCTAACCAACTCCCACCCCACCCGGTGCAGCACCGCAGTCCTCGCTTCATTCTGTGCCTCCTTAAAAGCTCTTGCTCTCATCTTGTAGCTATGCTTTCAGAGCATTGCTCATTAAAGGTAATTTTGGTTTCTGTTTTTATGGTAATTCTTAAACTCTTAAGTGAAACTTGTTTGAAATGTCTGTCATTCTGTTATTACAGAAACAATATAAGGAGAAGTATATTTTCTGCTTATGTCGAAACCAGAGCAGAGAAATTGTTCTTGAACTTAAACATTTGAACGTGAAACTATCAAGACAAAGAGATGGGGGAGGGATGAACCAATAGGTAAGGGACATTAGGGGATCAAAGTGGGGTCTAACCAATAGGACTTTCTGAAAAAAGAGAACAGATAAAACGCAGAAGAGAGAGGACATTCAAAGGATAATACAGGAGAATTTCTCAGAGGTTGACACAAGGCCTTAGAATGAAAGATCACAGAACAATGAAGGACACATGACCATGCCTAGGAATCACATTGTGCAATAATAAGTCACGAGGGGTAAAGACGTTCCACCCACGGCCACATCCTTACACAGCAATAACAAAGAGGATGAATCGGGAAATGTACCTCAGTGGTACAGCCTTTGCCTAGAGTGTGTGAGGCCCTGAGTTCAATCCTTAGTAACAGGAAAAACACTCAACCAAGAAGGAGAATGAATCAGAGTTTTCAGTAGGAAAATATCAATACAGAGGGCAGCAGGTGAGTGCCTTCCAAATTTTAAGGGAACTTGACTTACAACCTGGGATTAATGCCTACCCCAATTATCAATCGAGTCAAAAGGCAGGATAGATTTCCAATTATGAAGGATTCAGAAATTCTGACCACTATACACTCTGAGGTAGGACATTGCTTAATGGTAGGCTCTGGCAAAATCCAGAAGAAAAATCAAGGCTGCAGCCTGAATCTCAGGAACTGTGGCTGAAGCCAGAAAAGCCGGGAAGAAGAGGCTCCTGACTAGGGCCGGGGATTTAGCTCAGTGGTTTCGCTGCCTGCTGCGCAAGCGCAAGGACCCGAGTTGGATCTTCGATACCAAAAAAAAAAAAAAAAAAAATTGGACCGGGGACTGACACCTGTCTGGAGGGAAGGAGAACAGAAGGGTGCAGAAGGCAGACGAGGGGGAGAGGGAAATGCAGCAGGCATCTATTAGGGTGGACAGTTAGGGGGGAATTGAGGACACGACACGATGAAGTCCAATAGTGCAAGAAGAAAAGAAAAGCGACTTGAGATTCCAGATCAGAGGAAAGCATCACAGGAGAGCAAACACGAGCATTTCTACACACCACTGGCTGCGCAAAGAATCGTGTGTATGGTCCCAATAATATAAACCTGTTTACTGACTTTTAGAATCAACCTGTAAACAAAGCAGGGAAGACGTCATTAGAGTTAGGAAACAAGATGATGTCAAGGTGTACAGTTGTCCGAAGTGTCTTCGGGGGACAGGTTCTAGGTCCCCTTGCAGACGCCAAACCCCAGGGGGGCTCAAGCCCTTTGTATAAAATAGTGTAGTATTTGCATATTGCCTAGGCAGTCCTCCCATATATATTAAATCATCTCTATATTGAGTATAAAATCTATTCTATTGTGAATCCTACGGAAGTCGCTGTTATACTGTATTGTTTAGGGAATAATGACCAGAAAAAGGCTGTACATGTTTGGAACAGATGCAATTTGTTTTCTGAATATTTTCCATCCATGGTTGGTTGAATCCACAGATGCTGAACACAAACTTGGAACCCTGAGGACCTTGGAGAGAGAATGAAGGAGGGGAGGAGAGGGGCTGAGGCAGTAGCTGCCTCTGCTTATGAAGAACTGATGATAGCATCAAAAGATGCTGGGGGGGGGGGGGTTGCCAGGTTCGGTAGCCCATGCCAGTAATTCTAGTTCTCCGGAGGCTGAGGCAAGAAGATGGCTGCAATTTCAGGGCCAACCTGGACTAGGTAGCAAGACCTTGTCTTAAAAAAAGAAGATGGAGGAGGAAGAAGAAGAAGAAGAGGAAAAAGAGGAGAGGATGAGGAGAAGAGGAAGAAGAAGCCAGTGAAAAAGCAAAAGGGGAGGTAATTGTATTTCTGAAGTGACGACTGTCACCAAAATAGTGCTACAATCATGTTGGGAGGGTGACAGGAGGGGAGATAGAGGAGCCTCATCAAATGAGCTAAGTCCTTTTCAATGTAGCAGAAGGTCAATGAGCACATGCAGATATTTGGCTTTTTTTTTTTTTTAATCAAAGCCTTGCTTTGTAGCTCAGGCTGGCCTTGAACTTACTATGTAGCCCAGGCTGGCCTCTAATGCACAACCATCCTCTTGCCTCAGCCTCCTGAGTGCTGGGATTACTTGCAACAACTGGGCTGGGGATTTAGCTCAGTGGTGCTGTCACCTGCCTCACAAGTGTAAGGTCCTGAGTTTGATCCCCAGTACCCCCTCCCCCCCAAAATGCAACACCCTATCTGGCTATGAGTAGCTATTTAAGGTGTAGAATGAAAAAAAGTAGTATTTACTCAGGAATAGGCGGGTAGCATTTTGAAGAAACAGATAATAAGGTGAGAGGAAGCTGTTCTGGGGATCAGGCTAGAAGAACAGGGATTTAATACTGAGACTAACATTTATTCTAAATGAAAGCCCAAGTCAGGCTGGTGATACAATCCTGTGATCTCGGCACTTGGGAAGGCTGAGGCAGGAGGATCCTAATTCAAGCCCAGCCTGGGCAACTTTAAGACTTAGTGAGACCCAATCTCCCAATAAAAAACAAAAGGAATTAGCTCAGTAATCCCCAGAACCGAAGGGTGGAGGGAGAAGAAGAAAACATAATTATATTTCATATGTTCTGTGTTGGAAGCTACGTTAGAATAACTTGGAGATTTCAGAACTGCAGTTATGGCTGGCATGAGGCTCAGCAGCCCCCTTTCCTCTGTAGTTGGGCGGGGAGCATTGGGCCCCAAATTCGTCTGTTGGTGTCCAGTGGACTCAGCGCTTCCACATCCACTACCCCATTTCATTCTCCCGAAGCCCCAGGACAGTGGGACCCTAAGGGCAGGGACTCTGTCGTCTCCTTTTACAGATAGGACCCAGGCTCAGCAGGGAGAGAACCAACAGTGCCGGCTCCTGAAGCAGTAGGGCAAGGTGGGGTGCTCGGTGCACCCCGCACTGATCCATGAGAGGAGGGTAGGCAGGGGAGGGAGGCAGGGGGAACTGTGAGGCTCTGCCATGTGGTTTCCATCCCCAGAGCCCCACCCAGCCAGGACCCCAATGCAGCCGATCCCCACGAGACCCCCCGCCACACCTGTTTTTAAAAAATCATATTCTTAGTATCAAAACAGCATCACGATGACTTTAAAGCCATGTGTTTTTAAATCGCCTATAATCCTCCTCATGCCTGTGCACAATAATTACTTATATTTTTTTCTGTGACTCTCTCTAGCCTTTGTCTATATTATCATTTTACATACTTCCGATCCCCCTTCAGCTGGTAACATTCTTACCTCCCAGAAACAGTGTTGCTTGTTTCACAATCATCGGGTTTAATGGCTGCATATTATGCAGGATCATTTTAAATTAATCAAAGTACCCTGGGTTAACAGTTCATTATTATGCCAAGTATTTCTGTATTTTTTTAAAATCTCCATTTTACTTGTGTGGAAAGCTGGGCCACTTACCAAATGTAAGGTTCTCACCAACCTCGCAACTTCACAGCAGGTGTAGTCAGCCTCACCTTTCAAATGGGGAAACTGAGGCCCGGCTGGATCCAGCATGATGCAGAGAGCGAGGACAGGCCCGAAACACCCACGGGAGCTTTGGTGTCCAAGCCCAGCACTTTATGGAGACCCGAGGCTGTGCCTGGAGCCAGCCGCAGGGAGGAGCGCTTCTTGGGCAGGCAGTGGGTGACCTACCATTCTAACCACTTTGTAAGTGTATGGCTCAGTGACGTTAAGGACGTACCCACTGGTGTGCATCCATCGCCACCAGCCAGCCCCAGGCCTTTACCATCTTCCCCACCTGGAGCTCTGTCCCACAAAACCCTCCCTCCCTGCTCCCAGCCCCTGACAACCACCACTTACTTCCGGTCTCGATGGTGTGGGGCCCCTGTAAGTAGAATGGTACAATGCTTGTCCTTTTATGTCTTGCTACTTTCACTTATAATAAAGTCCTCAGAGTTTATCCATGTTGTAGCACAAATCAGAACTTTCACTGTTCTAAAAATGGAAGAAGATTCCATTGTGAGTATAGGCTACGTTTTGCTCATTCATTCATCTATCAATGGCATTTCATTGCCCTCACTTCTGGCTATTATTCACAGTGTTATGAATGCTGGGATGCAGGTGTCTGTTTGTCTTTGCTGTCAGTTCTTTTTGGTATAAACTCAGAAGTGAGTTTTTAAAAAATCAAAACTCTTCTTTTACTCTGTTTCCAGCTTCAAAGAGGGAGGGAGGGGGTTGTGAGCACTATATGAGAGGACCTGGTGAGAAAAAATATTTGCAAAATATACCTGATATATCTAATAAGGGGCTTGAATACAGAATATACTTTTAAAACAGAGTCTTGCAACTCAGTAATAAAAATACAAATAAAACCAATTTTTAAAAATGAGCAAAGGATCTAGATGGACATTTCTCCAAAGAAAATATGCAAATGCCCACTAAGCACAGGAAAGGATGGTGTGTTCTTACCTGAAATGCAAGGCCGGGGATTTAGCTCAGTGGTCCTGATGCCTTCCTTGCAAGCACAAGGTTCCAAGTTCGATCCCTGGTACAAGGAAGGAAGGAAGGAAGGAAGGAAAGAAAGAAAGAGAGAGAGAGAGAGAGAGAGAGAGAGAGAGAGAGAGAGAGAGAAAGAA